TGAACAGCCCGAGGATGGAGTCGCCATTCTCCTGCCGTGGGGTGGAACCTGGACCTCAGAGACCTCAGAAAGCACTCCGTCTTCCAGACCTTCAGGTAAGGGAGCGCGTCTGCCGTAGGCAGACGTAAGGCTCCCCGACGCCATGCCCAACTCGGAACTCGTGAGAGAAGCCATAGCTGCAGTGGTCGCATATGCAGGAGCCCGAGTCGGATGACTGGGGCTGCGGCTGCCATATGCCCCAGGAGCCTCTGAAATAACTTCAGTCTGACCACTGGTCGAGAAGACACCGCGAAAAGGGCGGTCAGCAAGGCCCTGGCGCGATCTACCAATAGTTGCGCCAGCATGCTCTCGGATTTCAGCTCCATCCCGAGAAAAGAGATGGTCCTCACCGGAGTGAGGCGGCTCTTTTCCCAGTTGACCTTCAGACCCAAACGGTTTAAGTGCGAAAGCACCTTGCCCTGGTGTCGGATCAACTGGTCTCTGGACGAGGCTATGAGAAGCCAGTCGTCGAGGTAATCCAGGATCCGAATGCCTGCCCGGCGGAGCGGGGCTAGCGCGGCCCTGACAACCTTCGTGAAGGTGCGAGGGGATAGGGCAAGACCGAAGGGTAGGACCTTGTACTGGTAAGCATGGCCCTCGAAACAGAACCTTAGAAAGGGTCTGTGTCTCGGTACCACTTCTACCTGAAAGTACGCGTCCTTCAGGTCGATTGTTGCGAACCAATCTCCAGGACGGATGCACGGTAGAATGCAGCGGACCGTCAGCATCTTGAACCGGTACTTGGCCAGGTGCCGGTTTAGACGCCTCAGATCCAAGATTGGTCGCAGCCCGCCTGCTTTCTTGGGGACCAGGAAGTATGGGCTGTAAAACCCTCGTTCCATATCGGCTGGGGGTACCGGCTCGATCGCACCTTTTGTTAAAAGGGCATCGATCTCCTCTCGCAGGAGTGAGGCGCCTGTTCGTGGAACAGGAGTGTGAAACACACCTCGAAACCTGGGGGCGGACACGAACTGAATCGTGTAGCCCTGCCGGATTGTCCGGACCACCCACTGTGAGACCCCGGGAAGCTTCCGCCAGGCTCCCAGGTAAGCTGACAGGGGTCGTGGTCGGGACGTGCCGATGGTCCCCATGGCGGGGCCGCCCGGAGGCGGACTTGTGGGCGGAATCACCAGGGGAGGACCCTGGGAGATGGTCAGATGAGGGCAGGGGTGGTGTGCCCCCGCGCTCTCTGCCATGGCCAGCGGGGCTCGGGCCCATGTCGGGGTCTTCGTCGGAGACCGAGGAAGAGGAACCCCAGACCGTCGGGCATGCGAGACCGCTATTCTCGGGTAGGAAGTGAGTTCTATCTTTGACACAATAGGTGCCGCCGTCCCGGAGGACGGCAGCGAGGAGTGTGTGGTGGACTCCCCCCCCCTGGGGGAGCTGGGTCGATGACCAGACCCAAAGACGAGCTCATTTCCTCCCGAGTCGCCAACCTCAGGGGCGCTTCTTCGTGGAAGCCCTCGTCTGCCGTCGAGAACCCTCTGAGGTTGACTGCGACTTTCGTCGTGTGGGGGTCTTCCTCGGACCAGAGGTCGAAGGATGAGACCGTGACGAGAGTCGCTCTCTTTGGCGTCGCACAGGCGGAGAGGGGTCCGGCACAGAAGCGGCAGGAGCCCGCCGCTTCCGACGCGGGACCATGAGCTCACCCAGACCCTCCGCCTGTTTCCTGATCGTGGAGACCTTTGACGCAAAATCATCCACGGCGATGCCAAAGAGGCCATCTTGGGAGACAGGTGCATCCAGAAACCGGTTTCGGTCATCGGGAAGCATAGAGGCCTGCTCCAACCAAAGATGGCGCTCCTGTACCACAAGTGTGGCCATCGTGCGACCGATGTTCAGCGCTGCTGATTTTGTAGCACGAAGCGCAAAATCAGTGGCTGAACGTAAGTCCATTATGGACTGTTGGTCGCCACCACCCTGGTGCATGTCACGGAGGACCTTGGCCTGAAAGACCTGTAAGGTCGCCATGGCATGCAGCGATGCAGCAGCTTGACCCGCAGCCGAATAAGCTTTCGCCATCAGGGCAGACGAAACTTTTCCGGCTTTGGAGGGCACACTCGGACGAGATCGCCAAGCGGCAGCACTGCCGGGGCACAGGTGCACCGCGACAGCCTGCTCCACCTGGGGAATCGAGGAGTATCCCCTAGCTGCTGCACCATCCAGAGCGGTGAAGGGGGAGGAGCTAGAAGCCCTGGCAGACAGGGGAGCCCGCCAGAATTTTGTAAGCTCCTCGTGCACCTCCGGGAAGAAAGGGACCGCAGGAGCGCGGGGGACGGAGCCCCGGCGCTTACCCAGGAACCAGTCATCCAGCCGCGACGGCGCTGAGCTAGAGGGCGTAGGCACCTCAAGCCCAATTGCGGCCGCGGCTTTGGAGAGCACCGCGTGAGCATCGAGCTCCGGCTCGGCCGAGACCCCGGAGGGTGGCAGCGCTGAGCTGGAAGAACTCGAAGATCGCGCCCCTTCCGATGCTGCGATGGATAGCAGATCGTCATCAGGATCACACGAGGGGCCGGGTAACGCCGAAGCGCTCTCCGACTCATTCGCGGACCAGACGGGGAGCACGCTCGGCATTTGGGGGTGGTGCGAGGAGTCACCTGACACCGTTCGACCCAAAACATCCGGGGAGAAAACAGCCGGCTCACTCCGGTTCGTAGGAGCGCCAAGAGCCGAAGCTCCGGCGTCCTCTTCCTCGAAGAAAGACCGTCTGTATCTCAGCGTGCGGGCCGGCAGAGCGTTGCAGTGCACACACTCTCGCCTCACAAACGCTGCGCAGGCGTGTTGGAAGCCCAAACACTCCACACAGCGCTCATGACCGTCTTTCGACGAGATAAATCCACCGCAGTTAGGAGTAATGCACGTTTTGCTCATCGTGTCGTGAAAAACGGACAGGATTATGAGAAAACGGCTGAAACACTGGACAGGCTTGCCTGAGAGATCTTCGAGGTGCTGGCGTTTTGGTGGCGTGCTATTCTGGGCTAGCAGAGGTCAACACCAAGTATGCCGAGAGGTAAGCAACCTACTGATCTTTCAAGCGAAAAGAGCGTCAAAGTTCAGGAGAGAGAGTCTCACTCAGTCAGCTCCGAAGGAAAATTGCATACTGAGGCTTAGGCACGCCCGGCTTTATACCCGGCTGATTGCTAATCAATCACCTTCGCCTGCAAATTAATTTGCCCGTTAATATGTTCGTCAGTCGCTCTCACGGTGATTCGCTCCCATTCAGTCGGTCTAATCCCGACTAACGTCTCCGGGACCGACTGAAAGGGAAATTTATTTCTTCTTTGTGTAAAAGGCAAATTGTTTTAAATACAATTACAAATACAGATTATTCATAAAATAAAACCTTAAATAACCAGTTAAACTTGTGATAAATGGCCATCTAATAAAAAAGAACCTGAAAAAAAGGTTCTAGTGCTTTGTTTGAGCATTTCTTTCTGTAAATGCTGTATTTTTACTAAAACATTTAGGCAGAGTTGTCTACAACGAATACACAAAACTGACCTTAAATAGCAATATGCTCAATACACCCACAGGTCTAACATCTATCATGTGTGGCACCATAATTGAAGCCTTTAAAGTGCACACTGAATGTAGATTCTTTAGATAATTACACATGTTTTCATATCCCAGCATCCCTGTGCATTACACCAGACCTGCTTTAATGCCATCCTCCTACACTTCTGTCTCTCGAATTGACAAAGGAGGCAAAGGATAAACACTTGGACTGAACTACTGTCAGCCCAGCAGTCAATGGGACAGTTTCAAGCTTGTTGACAACCTCTTTGCGTTTAAATGGCATGTCTGCTTTCCTTTCCTCCTGCCTGCAGGAAAACACAGAACCTTATGATGCCAAACAAGGTTAGCAGACCTGAAGAAGTGAACACGCTTCTGTAATTTGCATAGTAATAGCAAGTGAATACAGCTTTCCTGTGGCAAATCCTCCAAGAAGACAAGCACCTAAAAGATAAAGGCAATTCTGCTTATTTTACACCAAAACTGTTTACCATATTATTTACTCAGTTATTGCTATTAAATAACTATGAACTTGAACTAAAGTCATTAAACCATTTTATAAGGTGTCACCTACTACTTACAAAAGAACTTACTCTATTATTGTGGGATCATAAATGTAATAGTTACTGGATCTGCTTAACCTGTTTTCAAGAATGGTAAATCGTTTGGTTTTATCTTTTCATATTCTTAGTGTTAGTTACTCTCTGTTTGAATTGCCCAGAATCTCTGAGGTGTGACCGTTGGATAATTAATGTAGATAACCCATAAAGATGCCCCTAGAGCCTGGGTGGGTCGCTAGACTTGTCTCCTAAAACATAGATAAGTAGCTGAGATTCTGTTTAGAGTTGGACACCTACAACAAAGCGGTACATTATTAAATAATCCTGATTCTTGATATCCCAATATCTCCTATTGTATTCTACACTACACACTGTGCACACTACACACAATAATGTTTCCTGTAGGTACCAAATGAGTCAATGCATCGCAAATGCATGCACATTACTACAGGGAATCTCTTCATTGAGATTTATGTTGTTTGTGTTTGCATGGTTGTGGGTGTAAGTAACAGTTTGGAAGTCTAGAAGCTGGAGGAAGATGCTCTGGGAGTTATGTGTGGGCAGTTTACTATCAAAGCACATCAATTTCAACACCCACTGCTGTAATTTCAGGAACTTTGGGAAATAAATTACGACATTTCTCATCTAGAACATAAAAGATGGGTATAAATGGTGAAGGATGTTCTAGTAATCAATTTCTGCTGCATATACTTTAATTATCACAACTCTAAAAAATGGGAAATTTACATAAATCTGGAAAAAGTTTGGTTTAAAAGTTTAAAAACAAAGCATTTGTTTGACATTTTATTTATAATGTCATTTCACATGCATGATACTATTGTTCTAATGATGTGTCAGCAAACTTTTTAACCAGCTTGCAATATACTTGTTACATACAGTTGGTAGAGCATTGTGCTAACAACACTAAGGTCATGGGTTCAAATCCCAGGGAACGCAAAGACTGGCAAAAAATGTATTCATTCGTTCAAATGTAAGTAGCTTTAGATAAAAGCGTCTGCCAAATGACTAAATATAAATGTAAATGGTAATGTAAAAACTGTTATTCATACACATAAAATGTACATTTACCACTGCCACTGGACATATGCCCAGAGTATTCAAGACTGAAAGTAGCTGCAATGCATTATGTATAGACTGCAAGGTAGTAAGAAGCCAATCGTGTAACTGAAGTCCATAGTTTGAAGTCAATTCCAAACAGCATCTGTTTTATTTTTTCCGCTCCTGACTGAGCAGCAAGAATGTCACAAAATAAATACAAAGTAGAGAAAAGAAAGGCAGGGAAGCTTGGTGACAACAATAAATAAATAAATAAATAGACAATAAAGAAGAGTACAACAAAACAAATGAAAAATATTGAAACAAAATAATCAAAAATGATTAAAACCTAATGAAAGCACAATACAGAAAATGAAAAAAAGTAAAATACATATATAAATAATGTTATTTAAATATATATGTGTGTTTTTTTCTGTTCATACAACATACTTAAATAATGATGTGAGTAATTGTGCTTTTGATAAATATTTATGTTAAATTTTTTAAGATAAAGACTATTTGGTCTTACCCTTGTAAATATTGAAATATAGAGTGGCTGTTCTTAATTACACCAGGGCATAATAACCAGGATTTATGCTCCATGTTTCACAGCTTCGTTCTTGAACAAACAAACAGTTTATATGAGCAATAAACCAGAAAAGCTATCTAAGAAAATCAACAAAACAAGTTGCATTTTAAATCTGAGCATCCCTGCAACAAACTCCATAATATTAAATATATTTAATAAATGCGACTACATGAAGAAAAGACACCTGCAATTACCAAAATGATGACAAAAAAGGCCTCACATAGAGAATATTGCTGTGTGTTCAATCTATTCATATCACATCTACACAAGCTTCAAATTTCTGAGAACAAATCATTATTCTAGGTACAGCCATATCAGTATTGATTTACCCCCCATGGTGCTAGCATGCTAAATTGGCATATATGAAGGCTAGCCTGCAGCTGTTGCTAGCCCCGTTTAGCCTTCAGCTCTAAGATTAAGCTAGTGCCTTTGAGCTCAGTGGCTGAACTCATTTAATATCGTGACCACTGTTCATTAAGAACTCAAAGGAGGCTGGGAATTTTCTCTTTAAGATAAGACTAATCGATGATTAGCTGAGAAAGATGTGATTAAGCTGCCCTGCTCTCATGAACCACCCAGTTTGGACCTGGAGATGGAGTTATCTTTACTTATTTAACAGCGGTGAAACAGACTCGAGGGAAGGACGGGTGCTGCAATAACATTATTGATTTGTTCTGTTGGTGTAAACAACGCCCCATTTGAACAGCATGCAGAAAATCTGGAATTTAGAAGCGCTTTAAACATTTAAGCACAGCAGAATCATTCTTTGCACAAGTAAAGTTGATGTTCTGCCACACTTGGATGCTCTGAGTGTTTAAAGGTTGGGTTACTGAATGTAAATGCAATGCATCATTAACTCTTAATTGCTGAGTGGAATAATGATTCTCTCTAAACAGAGAAAGTGTTGTTCTCTGTGTATATGTTGATATTCATAGTAAAATGTGCTTGTGCCAAGCAGATTAGAGCACATTGTGCTGGTCTTTATACGTCACTAAATCTGCAATGATTCTGAAATCTTTTGACAAATGTTTTGGTGACTATCTTTACAAAATGTAAAATCTATGGAATATTTCACTTAAAGTGCATCCTGTACTTAATGTTTTTAAACAAAACAGAAAATTAACAATTAATCAACAGAAAGGCATAATACATTTAATTTAAATGAATTGAAAAATGCAATAAATGCAGAATGTATTTATTAAAAATCCAATTAAACAAAACTAAATTTATTGAATTATAAACAATATAAATTGTTTGAATGACACATTCAAATTAAAAATAAAAAAAAAATAAACTCCATTTGAGGTTTCAAAGCAAATCAATGCTGTTATTTTTCTTCTTCATTTTCTCTCCTTCATTTCATAGGTTGCCAGTTCATCACACTCCAATAAACAGAATAATCTACTTATAAATAGGCCAAATAACAGATTAAGACACAAGTTTTACTGTTGGGACCCCCATGTGTTATGTCTAAAATGTATTCCATGTTAAAGGTCAGGATTCTCCTCCTTTTTACATTATTTTCTTATCTCTTGTTAGACGCTTAAGATGAACTCACCCAGCTTGTATAAACTCTTACATATTACTACAATATATAATAACTTTGTTTAGCAGGCTACTGACGCACAACTGCAAGGCCTTTCATCTTTGCAAGATAGATATACATAAACAATGATGAGAATACATGACTAAAAACACAAAACTATCCTTAAAATGAACAAAGAAATAGGTCTGAGTGTGTTGTTTTACCATCATTCAACCCACTGTGTGTGGTGACGTCAATACGAAGGTCACATTGTCATGGTAACAGAAATGCAAAAATGAATAGCAGAAGGATTCATTTTTAGGTCCTACATTTTTGTCGTTGGTGGATAGGCTGGATCGACTTGTGCTTCTTTATCATAGTTTCTTTTTGTCTGTGCTGTTCGAATAAAGCGGTATAATTGGTGGGTATTATCAAAATTTCATTGAGAGCGAAATCAAATTGAGAATCCATTAGGGAATCTGCATCACTGCTCACATGCTTTGCAAACTATTCACCGACATAGTAAATGTTGGTCAGCTCTCAGGTGCCCCCTTCTACCTGTTGACAAGTGAAACAACTTCTAACACTGGAGTGTAAGTGCCAAGGAGGGTCAGGCAGGGCTTCCTCAAGCCTGGTTGCATCTTACTGTAACTCTCAATCATTTCAGTAAAACTAAGAAGTGCTGCACTGGAAAGTGGTACTCAAGTAAAAGTACTTCTAAGTTATTCTACTAGAAAATTACTTGAACAAAAGTTAAAGTACTTGATTCTTCTCAAGTATCAACAGTATTTTTATGTATTTAAATCATCATTTCAGTAAACTCATCAGCACCCGCTAAACTTGAATATCAAAGGCTTTCTGTAAAAAAAGAAGTTCTTTTTACTCTGCTCAAAGTCTTTCGGATGTTTAGGATGGTTCTCCCAAACTCTGTTTTACCATCTACCAACAGGTGTTCTTTGGACCGATTCTTCATTATTTCTGGACATTTTGCATTCGACTGAAGACCGTTCACTGTATTGAAAACATTGGCGGTGATTTTGAACTGGTTTAGGCATGTGCAAACTAAGGGAATCAAAAATGAGCGTGCTGATTTGTCAAAAAGAGATGCACATTAACGCAAGGAAAGAAGGAACTTGTTGATTCGTCAAAGCTTGCATGTGGCATTTTTTCTAATTTATCTCTATGTTTTCATTATTTCCTTCTACGAAAGTAACAAAGAGAATGAGTGAAATGTCGAGGAGTAAAAGTACACATATTCGATTCAAAACAAATACTCAAGTAAAGTACAGTGGAACCTCGAGATACGAAATTAATCCGTTCCAGGGTAGAGTTGGTATTTCAAATTTGTTGTATGTCGAAGCAAGTTTTAAATGTAAAACGCAAAATTTGTGCAATGGGTCTCAGAAACTGTTTAAGTTTATAAACAAAGAAAAACCAGAGAAAAATCAAGTAACTTTTCTTCAATCCTTAAATCTTCACATTAATAAATAATAATAAAATACAATGCAAAATACGTAATATGTACACAAATGTGAATTCTTGCAATGTGGCAAAGTGTTGGAGGAGGTGGTGGGGGTGGTGAATGGATGACAGAAAACATTTCTTCACTATACCTTCTTTCACAAAATTCAAATACCAACACGAAACCAAGCGTATGGGTAGACAGTACCCAAAGTGTGTGTGAAGGAATGGAGAAAGCACTTCTAAGAAGGCGTTATGGGTATGATCTGACCAATAGGAGAGCAGAATGTTTGTGTTATTCGTATCTTGATTTTTTTTTTGTATCTCAAGGCTAAATATATTCAGAGAGACCTTTCGTATCTTGTATTTTTCGCAACGTGAACCATTTGTATACCGAGGTACCACTGCACAAGGTCTTAAACAAAGTATTATTACTTCGTTACATTACCATAAATGGTCCCTTAATTTCAGTTTTTTAATGTGTGACAGTAACAAAAAGTTAAATATATTTATTTAACTGCATTATGAGAAGAAAACCCCTTAGACAGCTGCCTCCCTGCAAGGACAAGCCAGATTCAGAACACATTTCTACACCTCAACTTTTCAAACCCTCATGTGAATAAAAATTTCCTCTATATTGCCTCAAAATTGCCATTTTAAATCACAGGCTGATTTTGTAATGAAATGTAAATGACGAGCACAGGAAATGTAATCAAGGTTTTAGAGTTGTTTATTAGATTATAACCACCAATGTGATTTGAAAAGCTCCATTAAGTTAAGCAATACCACAAGCTGTGCGAGGTCTCTGGTGGCCCAACTTTTAAGGAGAAGGAAAAAGTCAGTCTTCTGAATCGATCCACACAACAGGAAACAATGAGGAATTGATCAGCTCCATCTAAAATCAAAGTATACTGCATTCAGAAAGTCCAGAAATATAATAAAGACTTAATCTTTCTTTACATCTTTCAAATCATAATAAAAAAGTAACATAAAAACCACCAGAAAATTGAAAACAAAATAGCATGCACAGTGTTTCTGTCACATGAACCTCCAATTACACATACTACAGAATCTAAAACTCTCAATTACTAAAATGAATATCTTTGGAGCCATTGTAATGGTAATTAGAGCAATAAGGGAGATTATATTTTAATAAGCAAGCAGTGGTCTAATTACCATGTTGGGTGTAGGCAAAGAGCATTAACCTAGGTAAAGCTGTTTTAATTGGAGGCTGTGATTGAGCAGAGGTACTTAACCCTTGAAAAGAGCATCCTGGTGTCCCGGCTGATTCCACAGATGAAATATAGTATGACCTGTGGATGGT